GATTGGGGGGAGGGGGCAGAAAGGGGAGACAGAAGCAGACGACAGAACATTGCTAGAGAGCAGGAAAGGAGGTGAAGGGAGACAATTTTAGAGAACAAAATTTTCTGTCCCTATCCGGATTCGAACACGGGGTCTTTGAACGAGAAGCGAACACCTTAACCTCTAGGTCACGAGAGCCGCCCTACTCATTGATGATAGAGTATCCATCCACCAATAAAGGTGCAGTAGTAATGAATAAGGTAAGAAAATCCATTTCCACTAAAAATCGGTGGTACTGCGAATCCTGATAGGCCTCATTTAAGTCTTTTTTAAAAGGATTTTTTGTGTGTTTGTAAGCTGTTGGTGTTGTTTCGATTTTTTGTTTTTTGGATTTTGTTTTTGTTTTGTTTTGTTTAGTTTTTCTTTGTACACAAGACGCTTTATTGCAATATTCCTAATTATTTTAAATTTTCGATCCACCTCATCTGAATGTTAGTCAAGGTACCTGGCGAAAGACAGAACGCATAGTTATTATAAAGACAGAGCGAGGGGTTAATTTATCGTACACATAATTGCTACAAACTGAAGCAGCCCACACAACATACTTTGGGATGGATTAACTACTTTTTTGTCCTCGGGTATAATGTCTCTTTCCCGTTGATTGTTTAACATCGTGTAAAGTAGATTAAGTGATGCCACGCTTGGACGCATGCGATCAGTGGTGTAGAGTTGGGAATGTCTAACCGAAAAATCTGCTTAAAGAAGCAACGATATCAGCCGATGTGATTGTATATGTTCAAGTCCATTTGTTTATTAGTTCCCTGGGTCGACTTCACATAATATATCCCCATGCCTTTTAAGAAAATGGAGTGAAAATACTAAAAGAAAAGAACAAAGAATCCCTTCATGCTATCGAACAGCATGTGTAGATAGCCTCTGACAGTTTCACTCTGAGTTGTAAAACGCTATGCTGTAGATGTTTTTTTACCTAACAATTCATTTAGCTTTAGTAAGAGTTTTATGTCACTTGGAACATAATAGGGTCAAATAAGTACCGACTATTAGAGGTGTTACACGAAAGTGACAAACGCAGAAAAAGAAAGAGAGATGAGGACGATAGATGTTTGACAGAAAAGAAGAAGTAAAACACAACAGAGCACCCACCAAGCACCCACTTACCAAAACAAATATTTGAATTTCCTATCGTTAAAGCCAAGAACCCGTCTGTTGGAGTAAGTCAACCAAAGCATTGCATCTAATAATTTCTTGTATGAACAGTTATTTTTCGAGATAGCCGGGTGCCTCTATCAACATATGTACGAAAAAAACAAACAACAACAACAAAACAAAACAAAACAAAATTTTAAAAAAGAAACCGGACTCACCAACGTCTTCACTTTTCCTTCAGGTGTTTGTTTACATCCACGGAGGGA